ATGTTTAGATGAGACATTATTTCTTTCATTGTGCTATTCATTCATTACAGGAATTGTTAATAATTTTTAATGAATACATTTTGAATAAAATTATTGTTTGTTGCGCTATATTAAGGATGTTTACCACCAATTATGTTTCCCTTCAAAATTAATTTGGAAAAAATAACTACCAAGGGTAATCAGAACAGTGGCTTAAAGGTTGGTTGTTAATTTTAGTCTTGGCCACTCTCATAATAGGAATCAGCTCTAGCCTGTGAGTCTTGGTCTGAATTCATACAAAGACATGTAAAGATGCTAAGACAACTGCATAAACCATATGCACAATTCAACTGCTGAAACCTTTTGAACTGCATTTCACTTTGTCTTAAACTATCCCCTTAAATTGGAGGTAACTTAACAAACAAAAACCAGCTACTTCCTTTTTTCTTCAGAGCTTTGGGAAAAAGTGTCGTTCAAACATTTTTGATGAAAAATGATCACAGTTACAGAATCACTACAAAAAGTGCTGCCAAAAGTACCTCAAATGTCAGGACTTTCTGACCTCTCAGACCGTTTTGATTAGTGTTTAAATTACACAAGTGAAGCATTTCACAGCCTGAAGACCAAATCAGATGGGGGACATTTGTACCGGCAAATGCAGTGATTTCAGTGAAGATAAAACTGAAAAAAGACATATTGTTCTGGTTCACAAAAGATGTTCATCTAACACTTAAAGCATAGGACTGAACAGTCAGACATCAATAAAAAAAAAAAAATCAGATACTCTTATTTAACAAGTCCAATCTTCATATTGTTAAAGAATGCTTAACTCTTCCCTCTATATATTATTTGCAACTAACAAAGTTTTGGAAATCCATTAGTGAATAGGCTCATATGACCTGAGTTAGGTATTTATAAACTCACAAAAGCATGCCCCTTTACCAACTTTCACCCAGATTTGTAATATTTTAATCTGCAGAAATTATTTTTGAAAAATTACCAACTTTTAGGGGAACACCTTTGAACAATTTTAGAAGTTGAAACTACTTTAACCAACATCACTATACCTCCATGGGTATTATGGTTTCTTAAATATTTAAAGATGTCTTATGTTTGTATTAGCTTTTTTTTTATATGCCCTATATATTGTTAGGATTTTCTTGTGCTCTTTCTAAGTTTTATGTACTTTATCTTGGTCATTCATCTTTTTATTTTAAGAGTTCTGTACAGATAAAGTTTTATACTATGATAGCAAATACATTTTTGATAAATTTCCAACACAAAGCCATGATGGTCCACTGAAAAAGGAAATCTGTTATTCAAACCTGGGACATCAATTCTCAGTGCTTTATTGGCAATCAGGACACACTGAAAAAAAAAACGACAAGAAAACTATTTCTGTTTTTTATCTGAACTGATGGTCATTTTGGATACAATAATTGCAAGCCTTTCTGATTATGTAGCTGAAACAAGCCGTAAGCCCTGAACCCACCAAACATGATTTTTGTCAGATGCAACAAAAAATCGCGTTGTAAGAGGTTGTGGCACTTAACACTTATTGAGGGTGAATCAACACAATTTTCTGCAAGGGGCCTTTCTCATTTTAGTTGGACTACACAGCAATTCAGCTGCAATTTTATGGGTTTGCCAGAAAAAGGTGCAATTACAAAGTCAAACACATGTGCTTTGGGAGAAAGGCAAAATAAAATCAATCGCAAGGGAAATGCACAGGTTTAGAGTCGCAGAGCTGGTATATAGCAGGTGTGACAGACTCTGGCATGAACAATAAATAAAACATTTTAAATCAAAGAATACATTACCTAAGACAGGACAGAAAACAGATAAAGTAATATAGTGTTCCTTTTTTAGCCTCACAGGAAAGAAAACAACAAGGGACAGTAAGGAGAGTGCAGCTCATTACTCTCCCGTCTTTATGAAAAAGAGTTTTCAAAAAATTTCAACAAACTTCACAGTTTTCTGAGAATGGCGTCTCACCCCCCTACTCAGTACCTGTATGAAGTGTCCCACAGCCTTTATTATTGAGTTGTTTTATTATTTAAACGTAGTTTAAATCATATTTTTTATTTATTAAAATATTCCATTTGTTGTGGCGCAGGCTGTTCATGAAGCTGAGATTTTCTTTGTAGCCACACTGTGTTTTTTTGTTTTGTTTGTTTTTTGGTCAGTTCTATTAATCTGACCCAGTCAGATATTGTATCATTTCAATACAAAGGCATAAGTGAAAAAAATATGCACAAATCTGCCTACTCTACCCCCTGCAGTCAATGTGACAAGGACACACATCGGAACGGAGACCAAAAAGTCGGATGCAACCAATGTGAGCCATCATTTATTCAACATATGTTTGATGTTTATGCTTACATTCTCTATGTTTACATTTTTTTTCACTCCATCACCCACTTCCACATCACTTTTTTATGATGTTTTCAAGCAGGGAAAATTCAAGATGCCGTTGGTCATTGTGGCTGGAGTAAATGCTAATTTTCTCCTGAAGCTCATCAGCTGAGTCCACCAGGAGTTTCTATGCCTCTTTAAACAATTGTTCTTCTGCATACTCTGTATACAAAGTAGGAGCAACATTCCCCCCTTTGTCTAGAAAATCTTAGTTATCACTGAAGTTTTAAGAGTTTTAAGATTGATAATTAACAAAGAGAGTAACTGTAATTCAGGGCAGCTAAGTAATAACAAAGACAACAGGTGTCAGATTTGCAACTTTGAGATTTTGGTCTCCGTTAGGAATTTTCGTCCCCGCACCCCTCAGGTACATCGTGCAGAGTACTTGCAAGTCATGTTAATCAATGAGAACTGTTCCTCATTCACTGTTACCCCTGCACACATCACCGTCTACGTATGTCTTCTCTGTCCTTCACCATCCAAAATTTAGAGTCAAGCTATTTTTTCTCTCCGCTCCGATCCGGCATGATCAAGGTCCGCA